GGGTACAGAGGGGTCCTGGGACCTCCAGCAGCACCCCCAGGTCACCACCAACTCTCCTGCACCACGAGTTTCTAAAGTGCTAAATCACCCAGCCCTCTGCCCCGCTGCTGTGCCGAGGGCCAGAAACGTGTTCTGCCTTCCCTGGCACAGGGAGAGAGGACCCGTGAGCGGCTCCCGTGAGCAGCCCCCGGCTCCAGCAGCGGTGTGGACAGGCCTGGCACCAGCGAGGAGCAGGGGGAACAGGTCTCACTGCCCCCAGACTCACAGGCTCTGGCTTTCAGCCCGCAGAGGCAAAGGAAACTCCTCCGCTCAGAGCTTTACGGAAACACGGGTCAGGCGTGACGACTGCCCGCACGCCCTCCGGCCAGCCCGACGGTCAGAAAGGCACGGCCCCTCCGAGAGCGAGGGTCCAGCGGGCAAACCAGAACCGGCCCAGCGGAGGTTATGAACCGACAGGCAGGGGGCTGGGACAGGAGGGCGCCGAGCCTTGCAGGGCACGAGTTTTCTTCTCTATCCTGAAATCTGTAACTCTCCAACCAACACCTAACTTTCAGGTGTGCAGCCCCTGGGCACGGCACAGATGGCTTTGGGCACAACACAGGGACGGCAGGGGAGCTGGGTGGGAGCCGTAAGGGGCAGGTAAGGGCACTTGCGGGAGGTTTAGCAGCTCAGGGGAGAGGTAGAGGCATACAGTGTCTATTGGCTTCGTCTCAGTGGGACACCGAGTTGTCTAGAAGGATTTGCTGCTTAGCTTGGAGGGCAGGGAGCGCTGGGACCGTTAACGGGACTGGGTGGGGAGACAGGAGCTACACAGGGAACAGGGGCGGCCTTTCCAGGAAAGTCCCTCACTTGTGTTATTCCGAGGGGCGACGCTGAAGTCTCCTCAGCTTGTGGGGGAGATTTATGACAGATTTCCCACTGCATGGGACAGAAGTCATTGTGAAGTGTTTCACAAGGTGGAAAAAACCTTTCTCTGCAATAAAGCCTGCTTCCAGAGCTGTAAAAAAACCGTCTGGAACGGGTGTTTCTGGTGCCACTAAGACGTGTGGTGTTGCGACCTGGCACATGACAGCACGTACCTCGAGCAGAGTGAGCCACACTCGCCTCTCACCTTGCTGACCCAAGACACGACTGCGCTACTGCCAGTGAAGGAGCCCCAGCGCCCGAGAGCTAAGCTCCCTCTGGTAGTCCTGCAGATCTGCTCCTGTCCCCTGCCCTTCTCTCCTGTAAACAGATCAGGCTGCAAAGATGAGGAAGCAAGAAGAGCCAGGGAGCGTTACACACCGGGGAGAACCTCACAGCAGGCGCTGACAGGGGCTTGTGAAAGGTTTGGCTCTAACCCAGAGGTTGCCTATAGGACAGGGATGGGTCGGCCCACCGGCGAGGCTGAACACAGACAGCGGGGTGCGCTGGCAGCCTGCAGCAGGGAGTGATGCAGAGCCAGAGGGCTGCCCTGCCCCTCAGGAGTGTAACAGCCCCTCGCCCCCACACACGCACGCACCCGGGCCAAACCCTGCCGTGACACTCTCCTCCAGGCGAGGATCTGCCCTCAGTCCCACTAATTAACCCCAACAGAGAACACAGGAGCGTTTGGCACAGCCCACACACGGCTCTCCGCTCGTACAGTCACCTGTGCGCAGCCTGAAGGGCCCGACTTGTTGGTACCTCGGTTCCTTGTGAGACAGCGGCAGTGCCCATCTGCGTGGGGAGGAGAGAACAAGGTGAGCGTCGGTGTGGGGAACAATCCCGCTGGGCTGGTTCCCATCAGTCTCTGTCACAAAGGCCAAAAGCGTCACTGGACGCAGCAAGAATAGAAAATAATCTTCAGACAGGTCGTTTCCAGACACGTCCTTTCATCAAACATCACCTCTTCCCGCCAGGGAAGGGCATGGTGACAGGGAAGGCCCTTCCTCTGGCTTCAGGGGAAAATCTGCAGTTCAAACTTGGGTGCCCACTCCAGCGCACTCTTCACCACGGCCAGGGCAGCTGCTCCCAGCGCGACCGTCAGCCCCATCACCGCCAGCTTGACAAAGCGGTTGGTCCTTGGCTTTGTCAAGATGGATTTTGTCCGTTCCTCCCCTCGGAGCCGCTCCCTGAAGCGCTGCCTCAACACAGTGTCTGGTCTCTGCTGCACTGACGCCAACTCAAAGTCCTTAAAAGTGGACGCCGCAGTTCTGCAAGAGAAGAAACAGGTCAAGGAGCAGCCCCAGCTCGCCTTCAGGACCAGCCTCCTGCCCGTGAGGAAGATCTTCCCGAGGAAGCAAGGCACAGGGATGTACAGAACACGCGGGCATGCGAGCTGCCCTGCACTCACCGTTCAACCTGCTGCTGAGCTGCCTCCCTGGCAAGTTCGGATGGAGGGAACTGGACGAAAAGGTCCCCAGCTCTGCTGATCAGAGTCTCATAAGGAAGGTCCTGTGGGATCTGGGACAGGAGGTGGTGGACAGAGGCCATGTCGCACTCACAGTCCAGAACTTCCTGCTCCCGGTACAGCACGATCTGCAGAGAGGAACGAGAGCACTGAGGACAGCCGGGGAAGCGGGGATGACTCCTTCTCACTCGCTGGCACTCACTTCAGAGCCAGCAGAGAAAAACATTTTGCTTTCAGCTGAAAGACCTGCCCTTCCTCAAGGGGACACACTGCAGGGAAGCATTCCCTGTCTGGGAAGAGAAATGCCAAGCCCTTCCTGAGACTCTCAGGCTGTGGAAAGCCCCTTTCTGGGTAGTTACGTCTGGCTTCTGAGCAGATTCTGCTACTGGCAGGTCAGAGACGTGGGCAGAACCTCAGCAGGGCTTGACTCCATGACTTGCCCTCAAACAGAGGTTTGTCTGGATCCCCCATGGGAGAAAGGGCAGATGGACACAAGGCACAGGGCTGCCCCCAGCCAGGCAGGCTCCCCAGCACCCGAGCAAGTGCCCAGCAGCAGGGCCAGCACAACAAAAGCAACGAAAAACACCAGGTCATGCTGCCTCCACGGCACTGAACCGGGACAGGTTGCGCATCTGGACACCCCCTGGCTCCCCCGAATCCCACCTGCCCTCCACCACCACCAAGGACATCACTGGCCTTGGAGGGCCCCTGCAGAGTGGGTGCAGCTGGGGACAGCAGCACCACTGGGTTTGCCAGACCCGTTCTGCAGCCCCAAACTACCAGAACCTTGCAATGGTTCAGTTAAATCCCTACCCTTCCAGCCGATACCTACCACAGCGGCAAAATAAATGGGCATCAGTGGATGGCAAGCCAGGAAGAAGTCATATAATCGCACGACATGCCTGAAGTCAGACAAAACGTGCCCAAACCAGGTGATCAGCCAGCTGAGAGCAAAGATGGTTCCCACCTCGGCGCTGCACAGAGAGAAAGTGGTTAGGTCAGCTGCTGCCAGCAGCTTGGAAACAGCGCTGCAATGCTGCTGGGTGAACCCCACGCTGTACCTCCGTGCTCAGGAGGGGAGATAGGCCTGACCATCAGCAGAGCGTTTAGAGCTTGGTCCAGATCCACGAACTGTACCTCTGATACAACCCCAAGGCAAAGTCCTGCCACTACTCGTCTCACATCCAGTGGGGTCCACAGTAGAGGCCCAAACACTCTGCTTTCAGGAGAACCTGAAGGTGTGACGTGCCACGCCACTGGCTCGCTGACCCAAGGACACCAAGTCCTGCAGCACAGTCAACTGTTCCAATTCCTTTCCACCCTAAAGGCTTAGTAACTGGTGGCCATGAGTTCCTAATTAAGCTTGGTACCCAAAAGTATCCTGGTCATGAAAGGTAACAGAGACACTTGCCCAGAAAAAGGCTCTGGACTGAATTTTGCCACTTACCTTCCCACTTCTGCTTTCTTCTGCCCGGACTACACCTGTGCATCCCTATTGCACAACCTGGGAATTATCCCCAGAACTAGCACCAAACTACAGCAAGGTGACACCAGCCACAAAACTGGGGACGTGAAGCAGTTGTGGCAGCTTTGTACGACACCGTCTGCAACCCCCCAGCCTTTCCAATACGGACTGCAGACCACTGGGGTGAAGGTGGCACCATGTAAAACCCCTCGAAACAGGCAGCATAGGTTTGGGTCTGCTTGGAAGCAGAGTGCCACAGGGCTTTGGACTGTCACCGTTAGCTGTGGGTCAGCTGTTGAGCTGACTCAGGAAGCCACTGTGGTGCTGGGGCCATGCTGGTGCAAAGGCCCCACGAGCAGTAACGCGAGACCGGCAGGGCAGAGCTAGGAGGCTCCGAGGGAACGTCTGCGTACCTCTGCATGAAATCGTGCACCTCAGGGTTCACCTGGTCTATGATGGGCATCAGGTAATTTAAAATGTGCTTGGTATTATCCATCGTTGGGTCCATAAAATCCCTGAGGAAAGATTTAAAAGAAGTTCTGTCAAGCAACGACATCAGCGAGCTCTCCTCCAGGGAGGCAGCCAGAAGGTAAATAAACACACTTTTAATAAACAGCTTTGCTGGCAGGGTGGACCCCAGCCCCCAAGAATTCTGTCTATTTGGGACAGCCTCCTTCTTACTTGTCTGGGACACTCAGGGCTGATCTGCCCAGAAAACCCAGTCCCAGACAATCACGCTGGTGTCAGCTGACACTTCTTTCTTTGCTGCAGTGCATGCGCGAACCGTAAAGCCCTTCCAGCACCCAAAACCTAACTCCCTGCCTAGGAGAATCCCTCCAAACCACTCCCCAGCTGAGGGCTTGTTCTCATTTCAGTGCACAACAGGAGAGTCACTTGACTCAGGACACTGGCGGTGCAGACCACACTGCCCAGGGCTGAGTGGGAGGCGCTGTGCTGAGCCAGCCCCCAGGAGCCAGAGAGGCCCTGACAGCAGAGATGGTCAGAGAACTATGAATAATGCACACGCGTTGGCTTTTTCAACTTCAAGAGATGTTACAGATTAATCTGACAGCCTTCAATTATCCCTTCCCCAGAGCACAACTCCCTGCAAACCCACGTGCTATCGTGTGGTCACGCTGCTCTCTCACAGCACCCCTCTGGGTAGGGACGTGACAGCCAGCCGGCCTTAACCCAAGGCTCTGCCTTCCAGGCTCCCCTGCTCCGGGACGGGCCAGCCCCATCTGCACAGGCTTCCCCGCAGGCACAGGAGTCCCCACAGTTTGAGGACACACAGCCAAGCCCGACGAGTACCTGAGATGATGCGTCGAGAGCTTTTCCACCAGAGCCGTCGCCAGTCTGTCCCCCACCACCAGGAGGAAGGTGACCACGATGTCATGGTAGCCCTGGTAGTAGTGCAGCTGGGGGTTGCGCTTGAGGACGTGGAGGATAATATCGATGAGCTCCTCCTGCAACCCTTCCCTCTGGTCATCCGGCATCCCTGTGGGGACAGCACCAGGTGGCAGTGGGATGGGCTGTGTCACCTACCGGCGCCTGCCGTGGGAGCGAGCGCAGCTGCGGTATGTAAGGAGAGGACCTGTGCATTTACCAACCCGCCTGATCCCAAGGGACGTGGTGCGAAGGGGAGGGAGGCAAAACTGGCAGAAAAACTATCACAAGCCCTAATCCTGCCCTCCAAATCTCTGAGGGCCCAGGGGAAGCCGGCCAGTTGTTAGGGTGTGTAACCTTCGGAGCTGCAGTGCCCCTACCTGCGAGGAAGTCACCGAGGAGGACGGAGCAGGGTTTACTGAGGTCTGTACAGCGCTGCCAAGAGCGAATTGCGCCGCGCATCCAGCACTGCTAAGGACATTTTAATCATTTTTAATTTCCCAGGGGCTCTAGAAAAAATTAAACAGGTCCCGTTTTCACAGAAACTGTGCCAGCTGCATCAGACTGCAAGGCCTCCATCGCCACAACTGTATAGCGGTCCCCTGCTAACAACATGTGTTTAGGGACAGGATGTCACAGGAAAAACACTGTTCCTGCTGTGCACAGCTGCAGCCAGTTTCTGGCAGTCTTTATCAACAGATAAAATGCCCAAAGGCCAAGCAGAAAGTCCCAGCAGAGATCCTGCAATGACAAAGTTCTCCTTTTCCCCTGCTCCTTTAATGTGTCTAAAAATAGGCAGGAGGCTGCCATTCAAGGGCAAAAAAAATGTGTACTAGCAGACCCTTCAGGAGTCAGGCTTGCCGACAGTATCCGCACTCGAAAGAGAATCAGAGTGAAGCAAATGTTTACACAAAAAAGCGGCAGAAGGGGGAAGCAGATTCTGGCCAGAAATAACGACTGCTCTGCAGAGTTAGATAGCTGCTGGATGAAATGTTTTATAAATAGCACAACAAGGCACCAGCCACCCATCAGAGCTAAACAACTGCAAAAACGTTTCGCTTCTAAAGGTTCACAGCTCTCTTAAATTGGGTGCATGAACCCGATTTGAGACTGTTTTGCAGCAGAAACTGTTCTAACCACCGACAAACCTGCCTTCCACACCCCTGAGCTAGATCATGGTCTAAAATAAACTGGAGCAAAAGGTGCATTTCTTAAGCGTTCTGTCTAGCCTGGTCTCACCCCATTCACAATGGCTGAGGGGCATGCAGGATCTGGGCCTCTCTGCGCTGCAACTGCTGGATGGTACCAGCCTGTTGGCAGAGGGGCTCGGCGGGGCAGGGGGAAGCGTAACCTTGGAAGAGCCACATCAAAAATCAGCTGTAGCATGGGCAGCTGAAGGAAACTGATAGCTGTGGAATGGCTCCACTCCATCCAGAAGCTGCTGTAAGCTGACAAGGAAAAGGCTTTCTAGAAAGTCAGGCTCTCGGAGCAATGGAGCATCACCTGCTGCAACCCCCCGCGTAAGGTCTGAGCCAGGAGGAGCCCCCCGCAGAGCAGGAAGGGAGAATCCCCTCTCACCTGGCGGGAAACGGCGCAGGGATCGCTGCACGTCCAGTAACACTTGCTGGTAATCTTTATTGTCCTCTCGCAGCTCCTTGCCTGCTGAGAAAAAGAGGACTATGATTAACACCGAGTAGCGCAGAGGTGCTGGGAAGAGCTGGGCGAGGGAGCCGGGAGAAGCCCTGCTGAAGGCAGGAGGCTGAGGCTGCACACACAGACACACCACCCCATCGCATGTCCCCTTTTCTGTATGTCACACGCCAGCCCTGTCCCCTCACTTGCACTGCCACGCATGCTGACACTAACGGCAGCTCAGTGCGAGGAAGCAAGACTGTTATTTCTTTAAACAACATGACGTTAAAATGCTTAAACTGACACCACTCCCAGCACTCCTGGAGACACCTTTGCTCCAGAATTTTGCTGTGCAATTCAAAGTGTACCAGGCAGCAGCGAGGCATGACATACTGTGGAGACCACAAGGAATAGTTTATTAAATAATTCAGAAGATAACCCGCACCAGGTAGCTAAGATAGTTAAAACAGAAGAGAAAAGAATTTGCTGGCGCACCGAACTATCTACGTGGTCACGTGAAATGAAGTGTTGTCTTCCAGCAGCTCTGATCACCTAATGTACTCGGGCTCTTGACTGACGTGGGGGGAGGCACACTTCTGAATGGCCACAGATTCAGGAGCAACAACAAAAGCTGCCCTGGGGACAGTGACTGTAAAAGCTTCAGGACTTGGAGCTTCTGCATTGCTAGGGTTTAAAAACCATGCAGGCACCTCGTCAGGAAGGTCGTTTTCCCTGTTTCTGCTCTGACCAAACATCACATGTGCTTCATGCAGCAAACTGCTTCATTTACGCCTGGAAGAGAGACACCTTGGAAGTATTTTGGCCGAGCCCGGGCTCGGCACAGCCAGCTCTCCATGGGAACAACAAAAATTAAGTTTGGTACTTTCTGCTGCAAGTTCTGCTGCATCTTCTGCTGTAAGATGAACTTACACACGCCAGCTCACCGCCCTGGGCCACACCAGCTGATTTCCATCACTGTCACTAAAGATAACAACACCCTCCCAGCACAATGGAAATGTTGTTTTTAGGAAGTCATGCAATTCCCAAAACTGCCATTTACATACAATACAGCGCGCAAAGCTACAGCGTTCATGCTGCAGCGCGAGTCCCCTTTGCACATGAGCTTGGTGGGAAAGGCACCAGCGTACGCAGGGGAAAGGCAGGGCAGAAGGACGTGCTTCAGCCTCTGTGATCCTTCCTCTGGCGTGCACAGAGATCACTGAGCCATTCTTCCAAAGCACCCAAGTCCAGGCTGTTCTGTACCTGGAAGAGGGGGTAGGTCGTCCGTATTAACGCTCAGCAGCTTCGGCCACACTTTGCAACGAATCTCATCTGTCAAGAGCCCCCCCTCGCTGATCGCCATCCGCCTGAGCGCGGCCACGTCGATGGGGTCGCTGTTCAGAGCCTGATAAATTTCCGCCACTTTTCTTTTCTTCTTAGCATCAAAGTCTGTAAGAAGACCACAAAGAGGCAAGCTGATAGGCAATGCCAGCACAGGGGTGGGCAGCAACTCGGATCGGGGTGGGGGGGTGAAATCCACTCACAGCAATGTCACACTCACAGCAAGGGAGGTGATGTGGGACAGTTGGCACACACCCTGCCAGGACAGGCTAGGGATGACCCCGGCGGGTGACACACCAGCTGACTGTCCCCGTCTCCACAGGCTCAGCACCGGGGGCACCTCACAGGGCACCCCCACCGCTTCCCTACTGGCCCCACTGGTCCCACCCTGGGGGGCAACCACTGCTCGCCCTGAGCTGCCACTGCTGAGCGGATCCCTGGCCCTCGGCTCCCACACTCCCCCACAGATCGCGGCTCTGTTCAGGACCGCGACAGCCGCACAAAGCCATCCTGCAACTGTTTGCTCTCTGACGCAGCTGCCAGCTCAGGTGTCAAGTGTTTCCTAAGGCCAGGACTTTGTGTTCCTACTGACTCCCAGCTAGACAGCGGCTCCTGGATGCGGCCATCCTAGGGAGAAGCCTGAACGTTTCCACTGACAGCAACAGTCACAAGAAAGGACCTAATTACACCAGAGTTAACGAATCGTACCGGCTTCTCTCCCAACAGACACAAACTTGCCAGCTATTTGCATACGCGCAGGTCAGCCAGCACTAAATAAATACCAGTTTTGTGGAGCACACGAACCTGGGGGCAGGCAGGGAAGGGAATAACACACAAAAACACATGGTGCTCTGGTTTCAGACGGGTTAAACGCACTTACAGGACAGGAGAGCACTTCCCGGGGAGCTGAGAAGGGACACCATTTCACACTGCATCGTGGTATTTGTCACCGCTGCCTCACGCGAGGAAGGAGACGGGCGGCTGAGGGCCACCCGGTATCCCACACCGGAGGAGTTCCCACTGGGGAGGCTTTGCTGAGCGGCCACGGGGCTGGAGCGCAGGGTGGGGCCGCAAACGCTGCCCTTGCTTAAAGGCTTTTTCAGACAGATCCAGCTAACACTGCTCTTGGGATCCAAACAGGATTCGTTTGATAAGGGACGTGTCTGAATAGGATTTGGGGTGAGTGGGAGGAATTAAAAGGATCCCGATGGAGAAACAGCTGTTTCTCAAGGCCCCACCCTCCCGGCAGCGGCTCGGGGCGCGCGTTCCTCTGCCCACGTGGCACCTCCGGCGTCTCGGTGCTGCCCCGGCCCTCTCCCTGCTCCCGGGGAGCTGCGTGCGAGAGCCTGGCTGGAAGCACCGCGTTCTGCAGTGTCCGAAGGGGAGACGGCGGGACGGCAGGCTGCTCAGACACACGGACGCCAAGCAGGTCAAGTGATGGATGCTGTCCCTTCTCAAAGCAGTTTTAAAACAGTTTTTGGATGAAAACAAACCATAACAGCCTACGACACATCTCCAACTCCCCTCCGAACACCAACTTCCTGGTAACGTTAAAGCTTCTAACGCTCACCCAGTGACCACAATTTCCTTTTATTTCCTTTCCTGCCCCTTGTGCAAGCAAAGTTATTTGCACACAAACAGGAACCGGCCCCGCTCAGCTGGCCGTTCCCCATCCCCGGCCACACGCAGGCACTGGGCCGTCACACCGAAGCCTTGGGAAGGAGGAGAACAAAGCCCATGGGGGACGAAAGTCCCGTTCACGCACAAAGAACTCAAGGAGCAGTGCGAGGGAAGGAGCAGGCATCGTGGGCTCTTCTGCTGAGGTTTACTGGCTGACACCCCCATATTTACGATGTCCAAATGTAGGGGGGGAGGGCAGCTGCAAGCACCGCAGAACTGCATTTCGACACCTTTCTTCTGCGCCGGCAAACCCCTGACTCGCGGCGCCGGCCGCACTCTGAAGGAGCGCCAGGAACGCACAGGGGGGTCGTCGCGCCGTAACCCAGGCCGTGCCGCCACGGAAGGCCCACCGGGCCGGCCGG